CGTGATGGTAGCCGTCATGCGATGCACCGCGGTACACAGGTTGCCGAACACGCTGGGTTCATGACCAGTGGCACTGGGTTGGTGACCTGCCATCATGAAGTCCTGTACACGCCCTACGGCGGTACATGTGAGGTGCGCCTGGCTGCGTTCGATTGTCTTCGCAGTGTACTTGGAGCTGTAGTACGCAGCGTCACGGGCGCGATCAATGGTGGGTTGTAGGAGGGGGCAGTCGCCGCGTTCGTTGATGGGACGCGCTAGTTGGGCGGCGATGTCAGCCGTGTAATCCCGGTCGACTTCGCAGGCCAGGGACATCAGATGGTTGCATCCGAAGGCCAGAGCAATCGCAGGCATGTGCGGCACCAGGTTGGATGCGAGGCGGGGCAGCAAAAATAGACCGGTGGTACCGACCCACTGGAAAGCTGTGCGGATAAATCGGGGAAAGGCCATGCCGCAGCTGTCGTCGGTGCCACGGCAGCCGTGCCGCTTGCATGTTGAACTGTGGGTGTGGGTGAGGGTGCTGCGTATGGCGGCAGCATGATGGGCACGGCAGGCGCAGTGCCGGGATGGAGGTGGTAGTCCGCCGTTTGCATACCCTGCCAGGCATTCAAAGTCGTACGCGGCAGGTGGGCAATTTGCCTGTACTTCTGGCACGGACAAGCCATGTTGCTGCGCTTCCGTATTAGACATACCCATGACGAGAGGCTGCATTTCATTGGTCGGTGTCGGAGCATAGTACGGCGAGGGGTACCACATTTCGCACAACGCGTATGCAAGCGCCAGAGCTCGGCAATTCGGACCGCAGAATAACGCTTGGAGGTTGTCCAGCGCGAAGTACTGGAGGTGTGCGACTCCGTGCAGGTGTAGTGCCAATCGTCCGCTCTGCTCGATTTTGACGACTACCTCAAATACGACCCCACAGAAACAGTTGGGGTCAGTTTGTCGCATTGCTCCAGGCGTGAAGCCAAACAGGTGTTCCACCAACACCTCTTTGGTGGCGATGAGCAGCGCCGCACAGCTGTGCGGGTCTTCTTTGACGCGGCGCCACTTTTCCACCGTGCTGCTGATATGGGTCGGACGCCCGGCGTCATCAAAATCTATGACCTGACCGGAGGCTACAACGGCACAGCTAGCGTGCATGTCCGCCGGGTTCAGATTGAAGAACAATGGCGGCCAGCCAATAGTGAGGGCAGCCGCACGCATCGTGGCTTTTGCACCGTTGTAGTAGGCATCCGTAAGGTCGATTCGTAGCAGGCTGGCGCGTGCGCCATCCAGGAGGGCACGCACCACGGGTGACTGTTGCGACAGCTGGTGCCGTCGCTGCGCATGACGGTACGGTAGTGCCAAGATGTCTGCCATGGTACGTACCACATCCCGTGGTACTAGTGCCGCTGCTCCACCCAGCCGTGGTCGCATGCGCAGGGCCACTCCTACCTGCGCCATGCTTTGCTGCCGCACGCTGATATCATACATTCGGGCAAGCAGCATCAAGTTACCGCTGAACTGCGCCCGTGGCACCCTCCGTACAAGGTGGCTGCAATACGAGGCGAACGACATACCCGGTGGCCGTTGTCCGGACAAACCATATGGAAACGAAACCGGGAAGCAGACGTTGAGGATGGCTGGATGGCGGTCATCCAGGATCTGAGCACCACGGCCGCCAGCAGCGAACGCGAGACGTGCACGCCCGGTGAGCAAGTCGTGCACCACGTTGGGCCGGTTATCAAAGTCGGTGCCGTCCGTCGGAACAGGAGCTGGTTGTGGAAGGACCACCTCCAGTTCATTCGGGATGCCCAGATTGGCATCAGCTGCGTTGGGTGGTGGGGGCGGATATTCGTAAGATGGGCAAATGGCACGTTCGGGATGCCCAGATTGGCATCAGCTGCGTTGGGTGGTGGGGGCGGATATTCGTAAGATGGGCAAATGGCACGTTCGGGATGCCCAGATTGGCATCAGCTGCGTTGGGTGGTGGGGGCGGATATTCGTAAGATGGGCAAATGGCACGTTACTCGAGTGACATCCGCAACGTTCGCATAAGACATGCAGCACTAACACGATGAATAGTGCACATCGGATATTCTTACCAGGATCGCCTGGTTGGCGCAGGACGACCGCGACAGGCGCCAAGCCCGTAGCACCAGCATCTATGATGGAAAATAAACACGGTTGCGCAGACGTACGAGGAGGTGAACAGAAGCACAGTTAATGGTTCGGAATCTAACACGTTCGGACGACACATACGGCAGCACTTATAGCATGTGAAAAACCGCAGCTGTATACAGCTGTATACAGGCTGTACAGGACAACGGTGTTACGGGTGCGGATAAACAGTTATGTATGTACCGTTTTGCTAGGTTGGTACCGTACCGTACCCATACGTGCCGTGTACCCATCACACACATACCTGCCATGCGAGTGTCGGAGGTGGTCGTTCCAGGCGCGGGTACATCGGGACCTATAACAGATGCACGAGTACAGAATCACCATTGCCGGGAGGATGCATGCGAATCAGGTGGAAACAATACCGCGAGGTGGAAGTGAACGGACGTAGCAGCATTTATAGGTGGCAGTATTCAGTTGTCAACTTCACTGATGTATGCCGTACTTAACAAGTCGCACCTGTACGAAGCGGTGGTCCATAGGCGCCAGCATCATGAAGGATATCATTAGCTGTGCCGGTCGGTCCAGCTGTGGTGTCGTCGGCAGCTATAACACAGGAACATTAAGGTTGGAAGGACGTGCGTGAAGCAGGTGGAAGTAATAATGCCAGTTTGGAAGCGTCATATGCAGTATGCAGCCCTACGTCAGCTATGAAAAGTCGCACCTGTCTCAAGTGGTGAACCATAAACGCCACCGCCATCAAAGTTATTACCAACGATGTTTCCTTGCAACGTTTCATGCAGCTGCCGTACACCAGCAGCACCGGTACGGTCGTGTAGGAAGGTACTTCGCAGTACACCAGCGACTTCCGGATCGGTAGGACCGATTGCGGAGCGCAGCAGTGCTTCCGGTACTTGTGCAATGCATCCCATACGCTCATACTCCTGTATAGCTTCTTCATCCACTGCACCTTCATCTTCATCGTTATGTTGAAGGAAACGCACCCAGGCGACGACGACGTTGCCACGCACTTTCAGGCCTGGTGCACGGCGGACACGATCCAGCAAGTCCTGCCGGTCTCGGACTTGATCCACGCAAACCACCGTGAAAGCGCCAGCCAAATCCGCAACACGCGCGGGCAACTGGCCCCGTAGCATATTGGGGTCAGGGTTTACGACCGCGATGCCATGAGATTGAACGGCACATGGCAATACCTCGGGAGGGCGGCCCGCGAGATGTACAATCATGAGCTGCTGCATGAGACGGCCCCGCCCTAGCAGTTGACTCTCCACGAACGTGGGCGCAGGCAAGGGATCGCCCAGGTGATTAACAGATGGCACGTCACCCGGATCGAGTCGTGCCAAAGCCGCTTCAGGTATTCGGCGTGCTGCAACAAAAGCGGCGGGAGGTGGGTATCGGGCAGGCACAATTGAAAGATAAGGTGTTTAAACGAGAAGAAGAAGAAGAGCCGAAGGGGAAGGCCATACCGGCCGCACAGAGAAAACGGCTGGACGAAACAAAGGTGCTGAACAGCATGATCCAATGGACGGAGGGACTGGCTGTATAGGAGACAGAACAATTGCTTACCTGCGAGTGCCTTCTCGCACGAGGTGCAGATGGTGAATTCATCCGGAGCATCATCGTGTGGAAACACGGTCCGGTTCGGCAACTCTGTATCAAGACGCATGCAAAACGGAACCTCCACACTTATTGGGTCATCGACGCAAGGCCGCGGCTGCACCCGCGGTGGATGGGGTTGTAATTCCGGAGGTAGCTGCATTGTGGCCGCGTCATCTGCAGCACCTGGCTCATTAGTCCCGTTGTCTCCACCGTCGCTGTCAACTGCTAACGCATCTTCATCTACGAATGCCGCTCGATCAGGGTCACCACCGATGCCAGCACTACTCGCGCGTTCGGATCTGCCGATACGATACCGAGCCGGCAGAACCGGATCTGGCGGCGGTGGTGCGGTACCTTGGGCAGTGCAGGGCATGCGCCGCCAAGCCAGGGTACGCGCATGACGCGGCACTGCGGCGGTGCACATGATGTCGGCGCGCAA